ATTTTAAAAAGCTTTTAGGCTCATGTTTAGTATGCATTCAGGATTGAGAAACTATCAACATGCTCCCTCCCCCTTTTGTTTCTTTTTTTTTTTTTCCCCCTTTTGTTTCTTATGGGATTTACTATCAGTGCTTATTTAACTTGTATTCCCCAAGCCCCCATACCCAGGTAAGCACCTTGAAAACATGGGGCCTAGTTATGGGAGAAGGGTGAGAGAAGGCCTGGGTGATTCAGTAATTTGGGCATATGAGGTGGGTATGTGCTTTTAAACTTTTATTTTAAGCTCAATTTACTCTTGAGCCGTAAGTTCTTGCTTCTTCGGTTTCTTCTGGGAAATCTTTTTCTACTGCGAAATTTCCTTTTCTGGTTTAGGAACAATTTGTTCCTTTTCAGGAAGAATCATTTCAGTGTGACAGGAGTAGCTCATGTATGGGCTGATCAGACCATGAGCGCATCTTGGGGGCTTTGTTCACCTGGGTGTGCTCAATGACCAGAGAATCCAGAGCTAACCCTACGTACATAAAAAATTCAGCCCTCTTTTGGGCCACGGACCCTGGGGCCAACCCCACTGTTTGGCCTGGGCACACCTTACCAACTCTACCACTGTGATGTTGGAAGGACACACACTGCTCCTGCAAAATGACATCTTCCAAATATTTGGGGTGACTTTCTAGATATGCATACCCTCGATGGCTTGGCCAGTCTTAAAATGGGCGCTTAAAATGGACCCAAAGATTCGACTCTCTTGATTTGCATGATTTTGTGGGGTTTTCTGGGTCAAGTGAGTAGGGAATCATTTTGGCAGATCACTGGAGGCCGCTACAGGAAGAGCTGAGGTGGGTATTTTGAAAGGAGCCGCGGAATCTGGGAAAGAAGCCCTGCCGACCAGTGTCCCTGTTTCAGCCTGGCCCAAGGATTGTGTCGTGAGTCTGAGGGGATTCAGGACTGAACCAGGGAAAAAGACAGGCTCACAGTGCAAAAGCAGTGATGCATAAGCTCAAGCTATTTTGTGGGGGCAATGTATTGATAGCTGCATGCCAGGGCAGGGATCCCCCACAACAGATAGTCTTCCAGTGGCATGTGACCCAGGGAGTCACCAGAAGGGGAAGTGCACCTGAAAAAATCCAGAGAAGAGGAGAAAGGAGGAGGGAAGGTTTGTGTGTACCTTATATGAAGTTTTTCTGCATCAAAGTGGGTGTTCTGTAAGTCAGAGAACTCTTCAAAGCAGCAGGGTCTAGCTGCTTACAGCTACATGGTTTTCTCTTGTCTGTAGCCACCAGAGAGGAGCCCTGGTGGCCCAGGGGTTATGCCATGGGCTGCTAACTGCAGAGTCATCAGTTTGAAACCATCAGCTGCTCTGAGGGAGAAAGACAGGGCCCTTCAGCCCCTGTAAAGTTACAGTTTTGGAAGCCCACATTAGCAGTTCTACCCTGTCCTATGGGTCACTGGGTGGCAGGGAGTTTTTGATAGCAGCTACCAGATGTTGGGGCAGTTTCTTGGGGTCTGTATAGCAGATCTGCAAGTGGCCAGACCAGAGTTCTCAGATATACACATTTCAGTAACTATATTGAAAGATAGGCATGCCAGCGGTGTTGTGGTTGGTTACGCCTTGGGCTGTTAACCACAAGAGAAGCAGTTTGGGCTGTCCACCACAAGATCAGCGGTTCCAATCCACCAGCCTCTGGGAGAAGACGAGGCTCTCTGTTTCACCAAAGGATTTCCAGCCTCATAAACCCTAGGGAGCAGTGGTACTCTGCCATAGAGGGGGGCTGTGACTCAGCGTGGACTTGATGGCAGTGGCTTTCTTTTTGATGGTGGTGTTGCTTCTTGAAAGGTATATTCTTCAATACCAAGACATAATGGTGGTTTGTTGGGCAACCTCTGCCAACTGAACATTGACCCTGATGAATTCAGATATTGAATGTATCTGCTGTTTGAGAAAAGTGAAACGTTATCCATAATACACCGTCTGCAAGAGTTAAATGTACGGTATAATGTGGTGCTTTGGTTTGCTTTTCAGTGGATGTTTATCCACAAATATCTATAAGTCATATCAAAAGTAAATCTGAATTGGTTTCCACAACTTTGGATAGCTTGAGGCTACACAATGCACTGCGTAACTTTATCATGTTTTAATGTTGTCAAGCTTCTTGGAATTTAATATGAAAAATTTGAAACACCACCTCAACTACCTTATAATTGTTAAGGTGCCTACTTACTTTTTTAGACTCTAA